GTGGCGGGCAGTGCTGCGCCGGGCCGGGGGAGGGGTGGGCTGGGATGAACCGGGAGTTGGCCTGGAATCGCCGAGTTGTGGCCGTGCCGAAAGCAGCACGAGGTTCTCCTCCCGAGCCTCGTCACAGCCGGCGGCAGCCCCCGCAGCGAGTTCCGTGCGTTAGATAAGAGCGGGTCAGCACTGCTTTCCTCGTGTTAATATTAATGCCTGAAATGCGAAAGAGTGGTTAAAAAAAACCTGGACAGGTGCGCTGAGGTGGCAAACTGGGTCCTGCACGTGTAATGCTTCTAAAATATGTTGTGGCGTGTAAAGCTCATGTGCTTTGTGTGTGGAGTATGTGAAACTTCGGTGTGAAACTAGTCAGCGTCTGATGTGAAACTGCACAGCTGTGGCAGAGCTGAGTTTTGTCCTGTGGGCCAGAGGGAAACCCAAGTGGAATGAGGTTGTGGTTTTCCACGTGGCATATGGCAGGTGGTGTGTACTTAGGAACTGTCGAGTAAGGCTTAGTAGTTGCCCTGGTAATGTTGGGAATATCTAAGTCCACGAGAAAGGAAATTATACAGAAGATAGGAGTTGTGTGAGTAAGTGCTCAGGATAAGAAACAGTCTGAAAAGAATCTGGGGTACACAAGGATGAGGAGTGCTGTGTTCAGCCACTGCAGTTTGACTTGTTCTACAGCTGCAAAATAATTAAGTGCAGTAACTGTTGGGACAGGTTTTTAATACTTGAAAGACTTAATTTTTAGGTGTAGTTCCAAGAAAACACCTTGACAGACATCTGACATTTTAAGCTTGAAAAGGCTGGTAGTTCCTTTAGGTGTAGTAATAGTTTTGGGGAGTTGTTGCACAGTCTGGGTTTGGTTTGGTGGGGTTTTTTAAAGGCTTGACAAAGCTTAGAAAGGCAATTTTAGGGTATAAATATACATAGCACAGAGATTTCTTGTCTGTGGTGGAAATTGTACTTGACAAAATGATCTGCCTTGTAAACTGCATGAAGACCATGAGCAAATTCACTAGAGTGTGGCATGGTTTTATTTGGTGGCTTAACTAAGCAAATAAAGTTCAGGATGCACAGAACTCTGAAGAGTGCAGGGCCTGGGTGGAAGTGATGGAGTGGTGGTATCCCAGGCCACAGGACAGTGCATTGTGTCATGGATTCTTGTTGCAGTAATATGCAGTGAGACTGGAAATGTGTTGGCAAATCGAATAGCAAATCAGCCCCTGAATCCTCTCCAGAAGCCCTTTTGATGAGGTTCTGTGGAGGCTGTTTCAGGAAGACAGCAGTGATCCTGTTCCATGTATTCCTGTTCTTTTCCTGGGATTTTTCAGGGAGATGGGATGTTTCAGGGCAGGAAAGCTTCTCCCCACCTCCATTTTGCCAACAAAACTGTGTCACAAGCATGGCTGGGGAGGAGGCTGTGCTAGCCTGGATGTGTCTCTTGGCACAGATTATTATCCCAGATGAGCTCTGGTGGCAGCAACACTTGTGGTTGTCTGCAGGAGGAGGTGCTTGAGGTACATCTCAGTCCTGGCCTTGAGGACAGTCAAGAGCTCTGAACTGAGCAGTGGAGTCATGAGGTGTTTTAGCACCATGAGTTCTCTGAGCTGTGTGTTTTCAGGAGGTTCTGGGGTGCCCCTCTGTCCAAAGTGTGTTTGCTTAATGGAACCTGTAGAGTTCCCTTCTGGTATTTTGGGGTGGAACTGGTGTCAGACTGTGCTGTCAGTGTGCCTTAACACGAGTCACAGTCCTGCAGATCGTGAAGGAATCGCAGCAGCAGCACGGGCTGAGGCATGGGGACTTCCAGAGGTACAGGTAAGCAGTGGGGGTGTCTGTGGGTTACTCCTGTGGCTTGTCTCACTTCGTTTAAAGTGTAAACCCATTGTAGCAGGCAGCAAAACCCCTCTGCCAAGTAAATCCCCCTGGCAGGTTGTTTCAGGTGAGGCTGTGCGCTGTTCCCCAGTTGCTGTGACATCCTGTGGCTGAGCCATGTAGGAGAGTGCAGACAGGCTCTTGTTTCTGCATTGCCCTTAAGATGTTGTGTGAGCACCTCTCTGATAATCATTATACTCCAGAACTGAGTGTAAACCAACTAGTAAGGAGAAGATCATCCTGATTTTTCAAGATCAGGAATTATTATGTGTCTTCTTACCTTTCTTCCTGTCTGTTATCCACTGCGTTACAGATAGTTTCTGAGCTACCTCTTACCACGTGGCAGAGATTCTTAGTTGTTAAGGCATTTCCTGTCACAGCCTTTAGTCCTTTCTTTCTGTTTGGAGAGAGCAGTAAACAGAAGCAGAGCTGTTCTTTGGCCAAACTGACTGTGGTTGTTTTTTCTTCAGGGGCTATTGCTCCCGCAGGCTCAGGAGGCTCCGGAAAACTCTCAACTTCAAGATGGGCAACAGGCACAAGTTCACTGGGAAGAAAGTAACTGAGGAGATTCTCTCAGACAGCAGGTACAGGGACGGGATGGAATGTTCACATGCGATCATGTGAACAAGTGGGAGAGGAGGTAGCAGCAACAGCCCCTTCCTTCTCTTCCCTCACAGCTGCTGAAATGGATTCTTTTCATAATCAGTAAATTCCTTTGACATTAGGGAGGAAGTGCTGATCCAGATCTCTTGCAAGGCAGCCGTGGGGATGCTGGTCATGGGAAAGGTGCAGCCAGCAAGGTTGTGGTTGGAGACTTAATCCCTTCCCTTTGGACAGAAATATTGGATTGCAGGTTTTACTTAGGTTTTCTAAATTTGGCAGAATGGTTGTCTGACTGAGCAGGTGGAGAGTAGCCAGGATTTTGGGCTCATTTCCCATATTTTAGGAATACTTGCAATGTCTGATGTCTCATATTTTCTCGTGGGGAAAAGAAAACATGATGCTGCATTCACCTGTGTTAAGAACATACTGAACCAGTTTGAGGAATGACCTAAAATGACAAATTTCTTGTCTTTGCAATGTCTGTGGTGCTGCAGAAGGGTAGCAAATTCTCTTCCTCAGTGAGGTAATTACATTTCTGAGTGAGAAACAGTAGAAACCAGTTAGGAATGATGCAACTCAGTGTGCTTAGAATGTAAAGAAATGAGAGCATTTACCTCTTACTGACCAAGCAGAACTTTTGTATCACGTTGCAAAGAACTCTTGTCTGAATATCATTATCTTTTCATTCATCATCCTCTGCCCTGTAGGTATTTGCTGCTGATCCTGATGGATGCAGAGAGGGCCTGGAGCTATGCCATGCAACTGAAGCAGGAGGCAAACACTGAGCCCCGAAAACGGTTCCACTTGCTGTCTCGGCTGCGCAAAGCCGTGAAACACGCGGAGGAGCTGGAGAGGCTGTGTGAGAGCAACAGGGTGGATGCCAAGACAAAGCTGGAAGCACAGGTAACCACTGGTACTTTGATTGGTTTGACAGCAGAAGCTGAAGAAGAAACCTTTGGGTTTGGAGTGAAGAGATAATTCTTATCTAGTAAAAGTAATTGAGGGAGACTAAGATGGTGCAAATCAACGTAAGGAACAGCCCATCTGTTGAGTGAGCTCTTTGTTAAATGCCCTGAAGTAGCCACCTAGAACACAGGACTTGTGGCTTCAGTGCCTTGGAGAAGAGCAGGCTCAGAGGTGACCTTATCACTCTCTACAACGACCTGGAAGGAGATTGTAGCTAGGTGGGGGTTGGTCTCTTCTCCCAGGCAGTGACAGGATGAGAGGACATAGTCTCAAGCTGTGCCAGGGGAGGCTTAGGTTACACATTACAAAGAATTTCTTGACAGAGAGGGTGATTAGACACAGGAAAGGACTGTCCAGGAAGGTGGTAGAGTCACCACCCCTGGAGGTGTTTAAGGAACGACTGGATGTGGCACTAAGTGCCATGGCCTAGTTGATATGGTGATGTTAGGTCATAGGTTGAACTTGATGATCTCAGAGATCTTTTCCAACCTTAATAATTCTGTGAAAACAGCAAGCAGCTGTGTGGTGACACCAGCCTCTTTGAACAAGGGGCTGCGGATTAAAACTGCCATTTTATAGCTTACTGCTGGGGAAAAAAAGTTTTGTGACATCAGTGGGCTGTGTTAATTGCATAACAAGCAAAAAAAATCTTTGCTTCCATCCCTTAGAAGTGCCAGTTAGAGAAAAAAAAAGGTGGGTAGCTGGTACTCTGTCATCCAGATCAGTTGTGTTCTGTGGGAAGCCCAAATGAAAAGGGCAAGGCTTAGTCACTCTCTGCAGGCATCTCAGCAGCTTTACTACTGGAGGGTGTACCCTTTAGGCTGTTGGTGTTGGGGAGGTAACTTTCCCTTGCTGTGTCTGCAGGCATACATGGCTTACCTCACCGGGATGCTGCGCTTCGAGCACCAGGAGTGGAAGGCAGCGATGGAGGCCTTCAACAAGTGCAAGTGAGTTCCCTCACTCTCCACCTTCTTTTAGTAAAGAGCATTGAATCAGTCTAGTGAGTTTATGTACAGTATGGACAGCAACTCTCTGAGTTGTTTAGTTACTTGTGTGCTTGACTGGGAGGTGCTGCTGAAGAGAGAACATCCTCCAGAGCATTCTGGCAGAGCAGATTCTTCCCTTAGGACAGCACCTGATAAATGACACACGCTGCAGTGTTAATACCTGTTCTTTGCTGTAGGACCATCTATGAAAAACTGGCCAATGCTTTCACAGAAGAACAAGCTGTGCTCTATAACCAGCGCGTGGAAGAGATCTCACCCAACATCCGCTACTGTGCCTACAACATTGGTAGGGAAAAGTGCCTCGTCTCCAGCAAAGAGCAAGGCTTGGTTACAGGAAAGGAGTGTTGGTTTAGTTTAGTGACACTGCAGTGGGTCCATAATATTTTGAGCAAATTCTGCACGTGTCTCAGGTCAGTTTAGCAATGGAGAAATAGCCTCATTTTGTAGCAGCACATGTGGTTTTGTATGTGAACAGGCAATAGCAGTTTGTGGTACTTTGCTTGTGAAAGGAGAGTGAAATTGAAAATTTATCCCCCTTGCCCCCAGATTGCTAGTATAAAATCTGTTGATTGGCTTTTCTGTATTACAATTTCTGAACTCAGATGGAAATATGATCTCAATTTGTTGATTCTCACAGGTGACCAGTCTGCCATGAATGAGTTGATGCAGATGAGGCTCAGGTCTGGTGGCACTGAAGGTCTTCTTGCAGAAAAACTGGAGGTAACTTATTTGCACCTTCAACTTGGAACATTCATGGACACTCTGCTGAGCATAAATACTGCTGCAGCAAACCATTCAAGAGCCAGAGCATAACAGAAGCAAACCTGGGCTCTGGGAAACAACACCTTGCTAAAAATCCCTTTGATTTCCAAATGTGAAGTCTAATGTGAATCCAAAGGGTTCCATTTTGGATCCCTTTGAGTTCAAGCTCCCAGGCTGAGTCTGTTCTCTGCAGGCACTGATCACCCAGACTCGGGCAAAGCAGGCAGCCACGATGAGTGAGGTGGAGTGGAGAGGGAGAACTGTTCCAGTGAAGATAGACAAAGTGAGGATCTTCCTGCTGGGGCTGGCAGACAACGAGGCAGCGATCGCTCAGGTAAAACCCCTCTGTCCTTCAGTGGGTGGTGTACTTGGATAAAAACCTTGGCATCATCTTTTTTTTTTTTCAGACTTGGGGTTGGAAGTGGGAATAGTGACTAAAACCCAAAGCTGAAGTGTCAGGTGGGGATAGTTCTTAGTCTGCTGAGTGGTATCCTGGGAGTGTAGTATTCCTGCTCCTTGGAACACTTCCCACAGGTGCGGCAGGGTGAGAACCATTCTTACCTGTAAGTCGGTTGGAAATGAAGGTTACCTTTTTAAGAGTATCTGGTTTTGAATGACTCTTCTAATTTCTTTAACCATTTTGCTCAAATGCTCCAACTTCAGAGGAGCCAAAAGAAGAAAGACACGTATTGACCACATTTTCTTCAGCAACAAAAAGCCATTTGCCAGGTGAAGCACTGCTGAGATTGATACCATTCTCTGACTTATGCCCTCAAAGGCAGGAAGAGGATTACTCAATGTTAGGATGTAAATTTCAAACCTAACAGTTCCAAAACACTTGCAGTGGCACATACTGTGCATGTCCTTGGTATCACAGCCTAATTTTCCACATGGGGCTTTTTCCTTGAAATGGTAAGCAGATGGTGTATCCTGCTTTTCCATGGCTGCATACACACTTACTGCTTGAAAAGGCAGTGAAAGGATCCTCAGTAACATCTGTTGCCACTAAAGATGGGCTTTTTGCAGCTTCAAAAACCTTTTAGCAGCAGGAGAATGATAATGATGAATGGAAATTTGAATGATAAAACAAAAACCCTACAAAGGGATAAGGCAGGAGCAGGGAGTAGTGTTGAGGAGATAGTGTGGGTGGGATAAACAGGATGTAGCTGAGCAGGAAACATGAGTGTTAACCATTCCTGTCTTAATGCCCTGCGCTGGGTGTTGCTGAGTTTAGTTTCAGGAGCACATGCTCGTGGCCAGCAGGTGGAAGTGCAGCTCAAGGTTCAGCCTTCCCTGCTTTAACAACCATCCTGCCAGGCTGGCAGTTGGACCTTTTCAGTGTACTTGCCCTCTAAAGCTGTGGCAGAACAGTGATCTAAATTTGTTTTCATCGTGCTCTGTGTTCCTTGGAACTAAAGAAGAGTTTTGTGGTAGCAGATCACAGCTGGTTCTGGCGAGAGCTGAGGGCACAGCAGCAGTGTTTGCATCCCCAGAGAGCTAAAACTTGGCCTATTGGAATTAGTTCTGTAGTTGTGTCAGCTGTGAGGGGCAGACCAGCTTCAGCTGAGTGTGCTGTGGTTCCTGGGATCCTTGGCACCTCTCTGTTGGTTTCCCTGAGTTGAAACCCTGACATAACAGCAGTGCCCTGCAGAGTTTGACTGGAAGCAAAGCCAGTCTGTTTTGTGTAAAAATGGAGTTTCTCAGTGTAGTTACCCCATTGCTTTCAGTGTCCTGTTGGTACTGGGAGAAACAGAACAAATAAACCAAGCTGAAATATGAATGCAAGTTTAAAATTGCTTATGTCAACCCTTTTGTACAGTTGAAGGCTTTGCTTCAAGGGCCCATTGGCTCTGAGCAAGTGGGAGTGAGAAGGCTGAAGGGCTGAGTGATGTAAGTTTGCCCCAAGGATTCTGTGCTCATCTCTGGACTGCAGGGAAGATGAGTGGTAATAACTCTAGAGATGTTACACAGTGGGTTAGAACAAAGTAAAAATGAGAACTGAGCACTTTTGAAAGTGTGTTCAGTGGGATCAGTTCCCATGATCCCTTTCAGATGAACCTGTGCTGTTTTGTCAGGACACTTGGATCACCAGCTGCAGCACTTGTGGCTCACTTTTATGATACCTGCCAAATCAGAACGTGTCTGTTTATGCACAGAATCAGCTTCAGGAGGTTTTGCTTCGAAAGGAAAGTCTTTGTTCTGTGGCAGGGCCCAGCCCTGCCCCTGTTTGTGCCTGACTGATGATCTGGCTGTGTCTGTTTTCATTTTTGTGCTCACAGTGAAGTTGCTGTGCTGCTCTGGGTGAGGTTGAGAATGCAGTCAGACTCGTCTCTGGTTATCCTCAGTAGTCAGTCCCACCTTAAAAATTCTTGCAGCAAATCTTAAATTAAAACCAGAAAAAAAAAAAAAACCCCAAACCCCAAAGCCACCTTCATCTCAAGATACCTGAGGCTTTGTGAGGGAGTAAAAATAACATTCCTTAATGGCTTTGCAGACGTGGGAGGTGGAGAGGCAGCAGCTGTTGAGCTCTGCTGAAGATAAACAACTGAGGGTGTTTTTAGACAGTTTTTATTCATTTGGACACTTGCAAATTTGTTGCAGTAAAGCTGATCTGCTGCTGCTACATGACATGGAAATGGTATAACAGTGCTGGTGCTCCTTGATCCTCCTGTGCTTGCTGAGTTGAGGTTTGTTTCTGGGCAGTTCTGAATCAGTGAGTCTTGCAATCCTCACCTGGTTACTGACTGGGAGCTGAGTTTGGGAGCTTGTTTAATTAGGTACATGATATGCCAGTGAATTAGGCAGAGATCAGGCTTCAACTTGTTTCTTGAAAGTTGTTTTCAAGTTCTGGTTTTGGGGCAGAAGGCCAAAAGTGCTTCATTTTCTTGACAAAACTTGTGGCGTCAATGGAAGAACACTGGGTCACTCCTGCTGCTAAAACACAGGGTTACTGTGAAATGTGCTGCAAACAGGCAAGTTATTGCCCCTGTGAGCATTGCAAGGGAGGGAGTGGAGAAAAGATAATCATCTACATGTTCTTACCACGTGAGAAAAATTAAATCAGCAGAAAAAGAGCTGTCTGCACTGGGAGTTTGCCAGTTCAACACTGCCCAGCTCTTCTGTTGCTGGGCCTTTCCCACAGGGCAGTCCTGTCACAGCTCTTCTGGGACCAGTGCAGGTGCCATCCAGGAAGGGGAAGGAGTTGCTGGGAAGGTATTTGGTGCAGAGATGAGACCATGAACTGTGTGTAGGCATTTAGTGCTGCTAAATTCTCAACCCTGAGCATATTCCACATGATTTCTGGCAGTTTGCCCCCAAGAATGTGTTGCAGACAGGAGCAGATTGGAGTTCCTGGATCTTCAAGCCATAATTTGGGAGAAGCTTTGTTTAATCTCAGTTAATTGATGCATCATGGGGCATAAAATACGAAAAATTTCTAATTTTTAATCTGTCTTAACTCTCCTTTGCTCTTAGGCAGAAAATGAGGAGACAAAGGAACGTTTGTTTGAGTCTCTACTCAGCGAGTGCAGAGATGCCATTCAGGCAGTGAGGGAAGATCTGAAACCAGACCAGGTAGGCAGCAAACATCACTGTTTGTGTTTTTAACCACAAGGTGTTTCTGTGGGGCTGATTTGTTACTGTTAAACCTGCTTGCCAGTAAAAGCTGCTGGGATTTCTTTAACAGAGCTGCAGAACAGTCACCTTTGAATTTACTCTCTTCAGAACTGGAGAGGGGGGAAGAGCTGTGTAGAAACCCTTCTTTTTCCTGGAAGTTTGTTACAGCTTCCATGGTTACCCAAACCTTGAGTTGTTCCTGTATTTTTCTTCCCTTGGCTGCCAGTTTTAAGTAAATCATGCAGTGTTTTGTCTCCCAATTTCCACAGAAGCAACGAGAACACTCTCTGGAAAATGATTCTGGGAAGGTCTCCAACATCCAGTACTTACACAGGTAATAGGCAAACATTGCTGCTCTGTCCCAGTGTGAAGAAATTATGTGCTTGGGTCAACGCTTTATTTTTGTTTGATTTTGCTTTATGGGCCTTTTGTTCTGGGCCTCTCAGATCTCCAAAGATGACTGTAAGGATAAGGATCTGACTCAAGAACATTTTAGTCCAGACTCACGTTGACCTTCCAGATGTTTTTTTTCCCACTAGTAACAGCTTAGTCTGGGGGAGGAGGTTTTCAGAATAAAGAGTAATGTCTGAGTAGCTCTGACTAATGGTACTTTATCTTGTTCCTTGGCAGTTATTTGACTTACATCAAGCTGTCCACAGCCATCAAGCGCAATGAGAGCATGGCCAAGGCCCTGCAGAAGGCTCTGCTGCAGCCACAGCGCTCGGACGAGGACGGCAAACGCACACCGCGGCCACAGGACCTCATCCGCCTCTATGACATCATCCTGCAGGTAATGCCAGGCCAGTCCTTCCATCTTCCCAGAGATTTGGTGCCAAGAGTTCCTCTAGACAGCACAGCAGTGCAAGGGAACTGCCTGTGAAGTCTGAGGAGCAGCTGGGTAGCTACCTTGAAGGTGGTTCAATGGTTGGACTTGGTGGTCTTCAAGATCTCTTCCAACCTTGATGATTCTGTGGTTCTAACATTGACATGAAGCACAAAACCTCTTCTAGCTGTGAGCAAAACATGCTGCTTGGATGGGTCTCCTAATACAGTTTTCAAATAGTCTTTCTGACTGTTTTCTGCAGCACTCTCTTCGCTGCTTTAGATTTTGCTGGGCAGCTAAAAATACTTGTTCTCCATAAGCAGTTCCTCAATTTCTCCCATAAGTTTTCTATTAGCTATGTGGCTGTAGCAGTTGGGAGTGGGAAAGGGAAATGCCTTATGAAAGAATTAGTTCATGTGAAATCTGAGGAGGCTTTGTCCTAATTCCTGTTTGTGTCAGGAAATCTGTCCTGAGGGCAACTTGCCCAAGTTTCAATGAGAGTCCTTCACAAGGGTAGAAAACTGATAATTAGAAAACTGGAAACTATTTCCATGGGAGTGTACTGTTGACTTGTCAAAAGGGACAGCTTTCTCTTACTCCAGCAGATTCCAGAGGAAAATAATGCCTGCATGTGTTACTCTGCCTCTCTTTTGGACAGAACCTCGTGGAACTGACACAACTTCCTGGCCTAGAAGAGGACAAGAACTTCCAGAAAGAGATTGGATTGAAGACACTTGTGTACAAAGCTTACAGGTGACTGAGAACAGGTTTTCTCTAGCACACATGACATCTTCAAAGGTTGTAATTCCAAGCTCTGTGTGCTGTACAAGCCTTGGATGCAGTTTCCTCTGCCCTTCTGGGAAATAGAGACTGGATGCTAAGGGCAAACTGTCCAGTGCTACTTAAGGATATCTCCTGTCATTTGAGCTGGCAAAAGGTATGGATAGCAAACACATCAGGAATCAGCTCTTTACTGTTGCAGGTGTTTCTTCATTGCCCAGTCCTATGTCCTGGTGAAGAAATGGAGTGAGGCTCTTGTGTTGTATGAGAGAGTGCTGAAATATGCCCGTGAAGTTCAGTCAGGAGCTGGAGCTCATAGGAACAGCTTGAAGGTAGGAGCCCAATCCTGTGTGTGGAAGGGAACTGAAGTCTGTGAAGAAGCTCTGTACACTATGCATTGTTAATTAGTTGTCAGGCCATTACAATTCAAGACTGATCTTTAAGTAGGGGAGGGAGTAATACTCATTACAGCAGAGACTTTCTAGTGCTGTGGGAACACTTCAGGTGGCCACTTGCCTGGGAGGAGAGACAGACTTGCTGTAACAACACCAAAGCAATTTACCATCTCTTCTCACATGTGCATTTTCTCTTCTACAACTTGTGTAGTGCCAGAAGCACTGCAGCTTTTTTCCTTCTGGGAAAATTTATCGGCATTAGGAGTTAACTTCTTAGTTCTTACTTTGACAGATTTTGTCTTTGCTCTAACTTTGGCACGTTTCAGGCTCTCAAATAATTTTCTCTAATGCCCTAGGAACTGCCTGATGTTCAGGAACTGATCACTCAAGTCAATGCAGAGAAATACTCCTTGCAAGCAGCAGCTATATTAGGTGAGTAACCAGCTGTACTAGAGCTCTGCTCTAATGTATCTTGAGTAATTCCTCTGCAGCTACTTCAGTCATTTCATTTCTGAAATGCCAAATGTTTTCCCACTTCACTCTGATTCATGCAGGCTTTGAAAAACTAATTTTTTCCCTCAATTCTAGCTTCTAGCTGTGTGTAGTGCAGGTAGGCAGGCAGTGACTGGACACTTGACATCTTCCTCCCTGCCCAGAGGTGCCAAAACCCTTCATGGGGATGTGCATCTGTTTTGGGAACCTGCACAGAACAGCTGAGTGTTGATTTTTTTGCTGCAAACAAGTTGACCTTTCTCATCCCAGTTTTGCCTGGCTGAGAAGACCTGCTTAGGGGCAGCTGGCTCCTGAGAATATCTTTCTCTGTGCCAGGGTCTAGCTTATTATTCTTACCACTTTTTCTTCCATTTTGCAGATGCAAATGATCCTCATGAGACTGAGTCTCCATCTCAGGTCAAGGATGGCAAGGTAAGAGCCAAGAGCTCAGGCAGATTCCAGCAGTGCTCTTAGGGAACATCACCTTTAACTGTTACCTGAGTGTCTCTCACAATTCGTGGAATTGTCACACTGATCATTTGGTCAGGACTGGTGTATTTAGGAGATTTTATTAGGCTTGTTTTCCTTCTGCATGTGCTGAAGGTCCCTGGCACAGTGGGGTTCTTTGGGTGGGAGCTGGGTGGCTGCTTGCAGCTTCTAGTCTGGCATCTCTTTATTAAGCTTTCTCCCTTTCATGGGAAGGTTTTCCAGGGATCCTGCAGCCATGGGGTTCAAATTTGACAGGAGTTGAAATAATTTTCAAGGGCTCAAGCTGCCACACAAGGGAACTTCAGTTTCTGTTGTCTTTGCTGCTCAATCCTCTGTGCTTGTTTGACCCCTGTCAGCTTTGATGTGACATGTGTTTAACTTGTGCTTCTGCCTTGGTCTCTTTCAGCCACTCTCAGAACGGTTTGAGACTTTCTGCCTGGATCCTTCCCTTGTCAGCAAGCAAGTCAGCCTCGTGCACTTCCCACCAGGCTTCCAGCCCATTCCATGCAAACCCTTGTTCTTTGACCTGGCCCTTAATCATGTTGCTTTCCCACCTCTGGAGGACAAGGTGGAGCAGAAGGCCAAGAGTGGCCTCACAGGATATATAAAGGGCATTTTTGGATTCAAAAGTTAACCAGGACCCCCCAGAGGATCAGAGGTTTTATTCTGTATTGAAGGAAAAGCTCCAAGAGGTTCTAGGACACAAATACCTGCACCTGAAACCAACAGAGGGAAGTTTTATCACCTTCTTCCCTGTGTCCTGTGTATATGTCTGTGCACTCACATTCTCTCCCAGTTTATAAAAGACAAACAGTTATTCAGAAACAAATGTACACTAGAAATAGATGAAAATAACTTGGAGCACAGAGATTCCATTCTGCTTGGAGAAGTTTTGTGACCAGTGGCCCATTCAGGGCCTGTACATACCTACTTACCATGGACCAGGGCATAGATATAATTTGATTCCTCCCTCTGCCCCATAATTTGACACTAAATTTGGTATTTTGGTCTAGAAATCTGGATATGATGGGGAAACAGAGGCAAAAGGAGAAGCAGAACTAAACCAGCAAGGTGAGGCCACTACAGGATTGCTGTGGAACGGTAGCCAAAGGGGTTACTTCTCCTTTCCTTTTGAGTCCCAGAAACTTGTGTGTTTTAAAAACTGTAACATTCAGAGATGACAAAACAGAGCCTCTTATCAACAAGGATGGCAAATACCAAATGTCAGTGGTTCCCCCAGCTGTGGTGGGTGAATCTGGGCCAGTTGTATCCTCCTTTACTCATACACATGTTCTGTTAAATACCTAAATACAGTATAGAACCTATTCCTACAAGGATTTTCCTGGGAAGCTAACTTCATGAGTGGCTTTAGAAACAGCTACTTGCTCGTAATGGGAAGTTGGGTCTCTCCATGTTCGTTTTGTCTCTGATCTAAACTTTGCCTGAAAACAAGATGATCTTTTTCTGGAGTTCATCTGTTGCTTTGTCCTTTGTCCTACACACAGAGTGATGAATAAGGAGCAGGAGAGCAGTAGGTTTTGAGGGATAAATCATCTCTGTCATGCCAGACAGCTATTTTTATAAAGCACCAGGTGCCGTGGTGATAGGCACTTGGAAAATGCAGGTAATTTCCTAACTGTGATCACTGAAACAGGTAAAAACCCCACAGCACATGGGCAGAATTGTTCCTAAATAAAGTATCTGGAAGTTTCCACCAGCACTGTGTAGGTTCTCACTCAGCCTGTCGCTGGAAGGTGAAGCAGCAGTTTGTCCTGGCTGCCTGAACTCCTGCACTGCTTGTCTGGACTTTGTATTGCTTCTCCATTTTTAGGCATTGGAGTTCATGGGGTTGGGAACAGAAGGATTTTTGTTGTCATAGGAGTTTTCCATGCAAGGTGCATGTCAGATGAATGGGGGGGAATTAGAAACCCATGGTTTTGCTAGGAATGTTTGCTTCTTTGTTCCAAGTTGTTCTGGTTTGTGAGTTCTCAGCGCACAGAAGGACTCTGTACTTTCAAGAGGACTCTGTGCTCAGAACAAGGTAAGAGAAGAAGGAGTTTGTGTTTAATGTTTGCAATATGGAAACAAAATGGGAATTTCTGCTGTTGTAGCGAATTCCATTTGCCTCTGGATGCCAGGAGGAGTTTTACAGGAGAAAGGGAAAGCGTAGAGCTAAAAGAAATGTGGAAGACTCTATTCATCAGGTGACAGTTTCTAGAAAACATGGTCTTGACTGGCAGGTTTCTCTGCCCCATAAAGCTCATTCCCTTTTAGGTAAGGAAAGGCCACACAATAACCAGCACAGGCATCACCTGGTTGATGTTTCACAGTATTTCCTCCCTTGTCCATCCATCTGAGCTGCTCTTCCCTTCTCACCTTTTGTGTCAAATCACTGAGAACTTGTCCTGTTTGGTTTGCACACCAAACTCCTTTTTGCTCTCCTGCCACACATCTCTCTGGTGCCTGGATGGATTCCAGGGAAACTTGTACTGCAGCCGCTTGCTAGTCAGTTACTGTGACACAAATCTAAGAGCAATTGGCCTCTTTGTGCCAAACATCTTTTGACAGAGAACTGATTAGTTGAACACAGATAAGAAATTGGAAAACAATGAAGTTTTATTCCTGACCTCTGAGGCATGGAGTTTGTGTAGTTTGGAGAACTCCCAGCACTCTGCCCTCCAAGCATTCAGAGGATCAAGGTCACACCATCACCTGGAGCTAGTGAACCCCTGGAGAATGGCCACTTAGTTCTGGAGGAGGATCTTCTGCCCCAAGGCTCAGATAACACCACTTTGAGGTGACTTAGCTTGTTTGTTTTGGTGTAATGTTAGTGGAAAGTGAGTGCAGTGAGGTTTGTCAGCAGTGGTGTGGCCTAAGTCACGTGGAAGGTGCTGATGGGGCACTGGGAAAAAAAAATCTAAATATTTAAAAAGTGAAAAGATAGTTATTTAAGTGACCTGCATGATGCAGACCAGACCCACAGAGGGAACAACACAAGCAGGCGAAGGGTCTGATGTGGTGAACAAACCAACTCCCCTGGAGCTGCCAGGTGTGTGCTGTGCCTGGAACAGCCAGGGCAAGGTGCAGAGTGCTGGTGTATGGAGCTTGGGAACCTGCTTCCTTATAAACCTGCTTCCCTGGAAACCTGTACTGTGCTGCTCTTTCATTGCTGCTTGTTTAAAGTGTTTGCTCTCTTTCCATGAATTAATTGGCAAGCAGGACACATGATTGCCCTCAGAACAGGAAACTCCAGCAGAATGGTCAAGAGCATTGCTTTCAATCAACTTTTCCTATGGAGAATCTTTGGAATTAGCACTGGAATTTTAATTACAGGCTGAGCTAGCTATGCCTGGTGCCATTGCATCTATTAAAATAGGGATGAGATGTACATTTTTGGGAGAAGATGCATCTGCTGAGGGATGTCTGTGCTTCCTAGCTCTTGTTAACTGCCCTATTAGCACAGGTACCCCGTGGGGTTCAGCCAGGGTGTAAATGGGGAGTTTGCTCACTTAAAGGAGTGATTTGATGTGCTATTGACTCTCTATGGCTGCTCCTCTTTTTCTTCAGGATGGGATTGAGGTGAGTTTTCCTGAAAAAAAAAGCTCTTTCTGCTCCAGGCAGGAGGGATGCATGGTGGGTGCCCCCAGTGTACAATGGAAAGCTGCAGGAGGAAGGATCTAGCAGAGTAGGAAGCAGACTGTGATCCCAACAGGTACTTGGGAGCACGATGAGAAAGGGCTTTTCCTTGGCAGGAAAACCGACCTCCAGCTGTTCTTGTCTGAAAACAGCAATCCATCCTGAAGAAGAAGGTGTGCTCTGAGCTGTCCTGGGGCTGCAGCAGGAGCAGCAGCTCTCCTGGCTGCTCTGCCTTCTCCTCCCTCCCCTGCTCCAGGCTGAGGAAGTGCTGTATCTGCAGCTGCCTGTGCAGCCCAGCTCAGAGACAGGGGTCACTGCTCAAGTCCCTCTGCTTCCTGGGCCCTGTCCTGCCTCCCCTTCAGCCCTGGGTTGGTGTCTGACTCTGCTGGGGGCTGATCCTGCAGCAGTTCAGGACGCACCTCCAGCTGAGGTTCGTGCTGCGCTCTGCTGTCTCTGGCTGAGCAGGTTTGAGAAATGCAGCTGCTCCCTGACCCTCTCTCTCCCTCTGGGTGAGGTCTCCTTAGCCTGACTGTGCTGCTTTGTGTGAGGAGAGGCTCAGTCCTCTGCTGTCCTGCTGCTAAGCCAGCCAAGCTGTTGGTTGGGTGACTGCTGCAGTCACTTGTCTCATGGAAGTGGATCACGGTGGGATTTGGGTGGGGACACAGCAGGGGAGTCTTTGCTCCAGAGCATCCAGCCCAAATCCCTGGAGTATCCTCACTCTGTGTTTATTTGCATTGAGGATTTACTTTGTGCACTGCTGAGTGACTGATCAGAGCCTTTCTCGGTGCTGAGGGACAGATTACAGTGTTTGGGTTAGAGCGGTGTGGGAAGGAGGTGGCTGTGTCCATCCCCAGCCCTTCCCTGGGCTGCTGCAAGTAACCTGGGGTGAAAACCTTCCCACCTCTGGCCTAAAAAGCAGTAATGTCTCAGAGGGGGAGGTTTAAAACCACTTTCAAATGGCATTATTTGCATGTTTGTTGTGTGCAGGTGGCCCTGGGTGCAGCTTTCATGTTCTCCAGTGCCATCACATTCAAATCCAGAGCCAGGGCCACAGGTGTACTTGGCATTTCTAGACACTGCCACGCTGGGATCTTGGGCAAACTCTCCACTGCTGGGCACCCGAGGTGTTGAGGTTATTAAACTTCTTGCTGTGGAAATAATCTTGTCGCGGTGGTGTCCGTGCACAGCACAGACACAGCAGTTTGCCTGAGGCTCACACGCTGTGCATGAGGATTAGTGACTCTCATCCCAGCCCCTGGTCAGTCCAGGGAGCAGTGCTGGGGCTGTGGTGCCCGAATGACTGAAGAGCAGCATCAAAGCCTCTGAATTACCTTCAGTGCTTGCCTTTTTCCACAGAAGCAGGAGAACGTCTAATTTTCTCAGAGCGTCAAATTAAGTCAGGGAAGGTGAGGTCTGGCCATGCAGAATTAGCTGTGGCAGACAGATTCATCCTGCTCTGGTCTCTCTGCCTGTGACACACAAGCACTTGCTGCTGAATCAGGCAATAGCAGCTCAAGAACGGAGCTTTGCAGGAGGTTCATGTGTAACTGAAGAGCCCTTGGGGCTCTGGGCTGGCAGGCTGCAGTTTGGGGTATGAGCACCCCTGGCTCAAATGTTCCTGGCTGCCCCTGCACCCTCTGCCCCTGCAGATGGACTGGGAGGTGGTTTGCAGGGGCTGTCACTGCTCTGTCCCTTGCCATGGTCACCCTGGAGAGGTTTGTTTCCTCTCCCTGCTAGCCCTGGGCTGCAAGCAGAGCCCTTCCAGGAGAGCTTGGTTTGGTTTGGTGGTGTCTGAATGTATGTTCCTTCCTAGCTGATGTGTGCTATGGTGTGTGAGTACCCTCCTTCCTAAGGGCTTTCAGGTCTTGCTAAATAGGATTCTCCAGCTTGGACCCCTCTCTTCTGAGTGCCTGATCCTTCACTCAGCTCTTTATATCAAGGTCAGAGGTTTTTCTCCCAAGCAGGTGAGCTGTGAGCTGTCCTAGTGTACAGATTTCCTCTGACCAACACCTGCAATGGACCATCCTGCAGGTATTTTTTCACAGGGTCTTTGGGTTGCACCTGTGTGCAGCCCAGGAGATATAGAGGAGGGCAAACCTGTCCTCCTGTTTGACTTTCTGGACCCGTTGCCTGGTACTTTATCCCAGTGTTCCCAGAGGCAGTCCCTCCTCCAGGGCACTGCATTTGGGCAAAGCAGCTATTCTGGGGAAATGTGAAAGAAACACCCAAAAGTTCTGATTTCCCACCGTCATTCATTCCATGGGTGGCTTCTCCAGCTGTGTTGTGTGTGTGTCAAGGTTGGCTTTCCAGGCAGGTGTTTAATTACCTCATTGCCTGGTTAATGATTCAGGATA